AGTTGCATGAATCTAACGCGCGCTCTTATTGGTTAGTTTATGGTCATCTGGCAATGGATAAATCTAAATGTTGACCTTCGCCCGCTCTTCCCAATAACCAGAGGTTAGTTTGTCTTGACGTTATGCTGTCTTTTATTTTTATGTTTAATAGCGCAAAAACTCCATTAATACATAGCTGAACGAAAGACTAGACTTCTGAACGCAAAATTGCAATGACGTCGAAAGCGTCATAGTGTTAGAAATTTTCAGTGAATAGAGGAGAGATTAATTGAATATTCGGAGGGTTAGTTATTAGAAGGAATCTGCGTGTCAAAAATGGTTGGGCTTACCTGCATCTGAAAGTAAACTACCGAGTGATCCTACTGAAATTTTCCAGTTTTAAGATTCTACGCACAGTATAACCATAGCAAAACTTTTGGCGACTTTTTTTTTTTTGACCCAGTTATAAAGGTCACTAATTTTTAAATTAATCCATTGCCTATTTGCTGTTGGTTAGGACTGTATTTTTTATATTTTGTAATGCACATTTGGTAACGAAATGTTGAATTTTCGCGATATAATTTTTTCTTTAATAGTATTTATTTCTTTTTTTACTGTTATGCGATATAAAATGCGAAAAAAGGTTTACAGTTTGGGGGCTAATAACAGAAATATATCAATAAGTATATCGGAAAATATTACATTTAGAAAATATTGTATTTAATTAAGGTTCTTAGATTTTTACGGAATTGAAATCCAGCGCAACGTTACATTTTGTAATGTAGTAAATTAACCGGAAGAAATTGTCAAAGTTTGTAAAGCTGTTTTTGTTAACAGAAACAGAGTTTCAAAACAAGACTGTTTGCATTTATCTCCCTCAGACTGAAGGAAGTTTAGCTGCCCTTGACACCCTAATGATCGTTTTATCATCATGTTTGTTACTATCATTTTACTTTTAGGCTATCAGTGCTCCATGTCACTTGGGATTGAAGATGGCCGGATTCCAGACGGTGCCTTGACTGCCTCAAGCGCTGGCTGTGCCTCCACATTCGCCCGTTTAAACTTGGCAGCTGCTTCAGGTAAGGCAGGATCCTGGTGTGCCAAGACGAATAACGTTA